AGAGGAACAGTTATAGGGTACGTTGTCTGACAAAGCCACTTTTACAAATGCTTCAGTATCACTGGGGGTACTCTCTAGATTTTGTTACAACAAATCTAGTTTTACAATAACACAATAAATACCCTCTATAATGCTGTTGTATATTTTAAAAAGCATCTTAAATAAGTGAATTAAGCAACGGCCTTAAAGGACTGCTCAAGTCTATGGCTGCAGCATCTCACACAAGGCTCTTCGAAACCACCAGACCTTTTATCCAGACCGCCAGTGAGGAGACTCTAGTGACTCATTAGTAACCTATAGTGACTTTAAACTGTTCCCAGACTTCCAAATCTCTTCTCTCACTTTTTTATTTTTTACATTTTCTAATTTTTATTAATTAATTAATTTCTCTTATATCCTAACCACAGCCTCCCCTCCCTCCTCTCCTGTCACTCTGATCCCTCCCCAAGCCATCCTTCCTCAGTATTTGCTCAGAAAGGGGCAGGCCTCCCATGAGTATCCGAAAAGCATGGCACATCAAGCAGCCATCAGAGCAAGCACCTCCCCCTGTATTCAGGCTGGGCAAGGCAATCAGCACGAGGAACAGGTTCCCAAGAGACAGCCAAATCACCAGGGACAGTCCTGCTCCCATTGCCAGGAATCCCACAAAAAGACCAAGCTATACAACTGTCACACATATGCAGAGGGCCTAGGTTGGTCCCATGCAGGCTCCCTGGTTATACCCTTGGACACATTGGCACAGGAGACAACTTCCTGAATAGAACACCAGTAGTACTGACACTAAGATCAACAATTAATAAATGGGACCTCATGAAACTGAAAAGCTTCTGTAAGGCAAAGGACACTGTCAATAGGACAAAACAGCAGCTTACAGAATGGGAAAAGATCTTCACCGACCCTACATCCAATAGAGGGATTATCTCTAAAACATATAAAGAAGTCAAGAAACTAGATCCAAAAAGAAAAATCCAATTAAAAAATGGGGTACTGACCTAAACAGAGAATTGTTTTTTATTTTATTTTATTTTTTTTAAATTTTATTTTACAATACTATTCAGTTCTACATAATAGCCACAGATTCCCTTGTTCTCTCCCTTCCTGCCCCCTCCCTTTCCCCCCAGCCCACCCCCCATTCCCACCTCCTCCAGATCAAGGTCTCCCCCGAGGATTGGGATCAACCTGACAGAGAATTCTTAACAGAAGAATTTCAAATGTCAGAGAAACACTTAAAAAAATGTTCATCATCCTTAGCCATTAGGGAAATGGAAATCAAAATGACCCTGAGATTCCATCTTATACCTGTCAGAATGGCTAAGATAAAAACACAAGTGACAGCTCATGCTGGAGAGGATGTGGAACAAGGGGAACACTCTTCCATTGCTCGTGGGAGTGCAAACTTATACAGTCACTTTGAAAATCAATATGGCATTTTTCTCAGAAAATTGGGAATCAGTCGCCCCCAAGACCCAGCTATACCACTCTTCAGCATATACCCAAAGAATGCTCAATCATACCACAAGGACACTTGCTCAACTATGTTCATAGCAGCTCTATTCAAAATATCCAGAACGTGGAAACAACCTAGATGCCCCTCAACTGAGGAATGGATAAAGAAAATGTAGTGCATTTATACAATGAAATATTATTCAACTGTTAAAAATAATATCATGAATTTTTCAGGCAAATGGATAGAACTAGAAAAAGTCATCCTAAATGAGATAACCCAGACCCAGAAAGACAAACAAAGTATGTATTCATCCATAAGTGGATATTAGCTTTAAAGTAAAGCATAACCATGCTACAATCCACAGCCCTAAAGAAACTAGGTAAGCTAGGTAACAAGGAGGGCTCAAGGACGGATGCATGGATCTTCCTGGGAAGGGGACATAGAGGTGATTTCCTGGGTGGACTGGGGTGAGTGGAGATGAGTACTTGAGGGATTAGGTTGTGGGGTGGGCAGAGGGAGAGAGTATAGAGAAAGACGACTGGAAAGAGGGACTTTATGGAGTCGGCGTCTGGCACAAGCCTGATGCAAGGGAAACTTCCACTAGTCTACAAGGACAGCCCCAGCTAGGACTCCTGACACCAGTGGATACATAGCCTGAATTGGTAATCCCCTGTCATCAGATTGGTGACTACCTCGGTTGTCAGTAGAGAGCCTTCATTCAGTGACTGATGGAAGCAGATTCAGAGACCCAAGACCAAACACTGGGCCGAACTCAGGGAGTCCTGCTGAGGAGAGGGAGAGGGAATTGTAGGAGCCAGAAAGTCAGGGATATTGGAAGAAAATTTTCTCTCACTTTTAACTTAACTATTGTGAATCAAAGGTCTTGATTAATATGTAGATAATGTGGATGTTATGGAATCTTGAAGTCCAAAGTCAGATTATCCTGGGACATCTTTTGCCCAGCTTAATAAGCATCTATTACCCTTCTCTGTATGTGACCTATCCTCTTTTTTATTGTTAGGTAAATCCTTTGGAATCTACAAACAGACACCTAGGTCCCACAAACCAAAAAGTTAAGTATGCCATTTAGTAGCACCCAAGGCCTATAGCAAAGATTTCCCCAGATTTTGTGTCCTGCTTACCAGATATTTCCACCAATGCATTAACAAAAGTGTCTTGATTTATAATTTCTTTTCCTGTCAATACAAAATCTCATGGAGCTGTTTGCATATTTAAACATGAAACACGGGCTGAGTTAAGTCAGTGTTTCTGGGCCAGGGCCATGGTCACTCATATTTGGCTCCAGAATAAATTGTCTCTTACTTCCTTTGAGGTAGGAGTTGTGTATTTACATCAACACTACATATATGAACAAGTTTCAGTTATCACGTGGTCAGCACCTGAGCCAGCAGCATGACTAGGGCAGCATGCGCTTCTCTACCAGTCACTCCTGGAAGTGAAAACAAGGGGTGCCAAGGTGAACGAGACTGCAGGTGGGGCAGTCTTTGTGGGAGAGGTGCTTCCTTCCACATCCTCGGTTCTGGGTCCAGGTAAGGAGCAAAGCAGCACTACCCTGTGATGCCCCTGTAGAGTCTCCTCAATGCAGCTTTAGTCCTACACGGTTTCTCCAAAGCTACCACAGTTCAATGCAGCCAGAGAAAACACTTCACTAAATAGTTTAGTGTTTGTGGAACAACTTTAGTCAAGATATAAGACGAAATACAAAATACAAGACAACGGATGAAAGTGAACTATGAGGTATACAGTCTAACCCACGGTTAGCCTAACAACTCTAACAACTGCTATAAAATGCCAATAGAATTTTTTGTTTGTTTGTTTGTTTTGGTTTTTTGTTTTTTTTTTGGTTTTTCGAGACAGGGTTTCTCTATGTAGCTTTGCGCCTTTCTGGAACTCACTTGGTAGCCCAGGCTGGCCTCGAACTCACAAAGATCCACCTGCCTCTGCCTCCTGAGTGCTGAGATTAAAGGCGTGTGCCTGGCTAGAATTGTTATATGTAACATCAGCTACTAGTTGGGCTAGGTATGTTAAATGTTTCTATGATAATGAAATTGATGACTGTGACAATCTTCAACAAAAGGACAACCCACGGGTCAGGATGGGGAAAGGTCACAGCTAGCAACATCACTGTACAGTCTGTGTTGCCATCAGTGGCCATTCTCTCTCTCTCTTTTAACTTGTGGACACTCTGATGTTGAATCCATACTGGAGTACTACTGTCAACCACACCCAAAGTTAGAAATTACCACAAGAAAGTGAATGAATGAATGGAGAAGACTCTTTGCCAATTGAGGAATCCCTACCACACCCATTACCTCAGTCCAGGGCACCTTCACCAGGAATGTCTTTTATTTATTCTCTTTACCTCTCTATTTACATATGTCTCACTATGAACACTGCCCATGGAGTGATATTTCAAAGAATCAATGTCCACAACACAACTAGAATACTTTCTTTCTTACTTATCGTGCTCCTAAACAAACAAATCAGTAGACAATGACACCTGAATATAAAATGATCAGGTATTATAGTAGAATGAATGGGGAAAACGCCAGAAAAGACAACCATGGGGAGTAGCACACATGATCCTTCCAGGCTAGAGCCCCTGCCCAGTCCTCTGAGTGAGAAGCTCTTTCTACCTGCTTCCTTCTCCCAAAGTGAGCATCCAGTAACTGAACATAAGCACAGTGCACAGCTATCCTGAGCCTAAGCTGTGGCAGCCTCTATGCTAAGTGTTTTGAATGCATTGTCATATTTAGGTCTTAAAGCAACATTGCTGGTGGTTTCCGGAGCTAGCATTATCCTAAACTTTACAGATGGCAATCTCAGAGAGATAAGTAACTTTCCAAGGTTACACAATTGGATCACAGCTGAGAGTAAAACACACATCTCTTTGTTTCTAGTGCATTTAACCCCACTTAAGAATTCCCAAGCACATTGTTTTGTAAGATCTGAGCACACATTTCCATCTTTTCCTCTAATCAATGAGTTCCTTCAGGGAAGAATTTATTGCTCATTAATTTTACATCTCTAAGGCATAGAATAATACCTAATAGAGAACAGAAACTCAATGACTATCAAGTAAATAAGATGACGAATTTAAAAAATAAAAGATAAAAGAAATTAATTTGAAAAAAATTGTTAAACTAAGAGCAAAAGCTCATTGGATACAAGGATGCTGTCCCCATGTAAACTTTGTGCACCTCACTTCTATTTTAGCAACATGACTCTTTTTTGAGAAGCTCCACTTTTTACTATAGAAATAAAGTACCCCAAGACCTAAATGAATGATTGAAATTCTATTATCAGAACATAGTACAAACACCACCAGCATATAATCACATGTTGCCTATAATAAGCTACTTGAAGTTTTCTAGTGGGTTTCAATTTTGCAGTCTAGACACAAGAAGAAGATATGCTATTGGCAATATTTAACACAAGTGCTTCAACTGGCTTGGATGGAAAGCAACCCCTCTCTTTGAATTATATAGATATTCTGTTTCCTTCTCAGTAAGCAGACAGTCTCCACTGGTACCTTCACATCCTCTGCCATCTTCCTCCAGCTTTTGGCCAGCTTGACATCTGCAGAAATAACTGCCAATCGTATTGCAGCACTGGTCTTGACAGCCCCCATTGTCAACAGCACATTCGTTTATATCTGCAATTGGATAGTTGTATAGAATCAGTCTCTTCAAAGTAAACACACAGAAAGAAACTTCAATGCCTCTCCTAAAATCGATCCACCAATTTGACATTCCTTCCTCTACAGATTTAAAGGAGAAAAGAAAAGAGCATCTCATTTTATTTTATTATTTTGTGTCTGTGTGCGTATGTGCATGGGTATGTATGTGACCGCAAGCGTGCACATGGCACAGCATGCAGATGGAGCTCAGAGGACGACTACAGGTGTCCCCACCTTCACACCTATTCGAGACAGCTTCTTTCTGTTGTATGCTATGGTAGTTGGCCTATGTGTTTGAGACCTCCCTTTTCTGTCACATCTTGTCACAGAAGCACTGGAATTGCAGCTGTGCAGCTGTGCCCAGCTGTGCATGGGTGTTCAACCTCAGGCTCTCAAGCTTGTGCAGCAAGAGCTTTACCTAGTGAGCCTCAGCCCCAGCATCTCACTTTAACCAGAGCAAATGTGCCATAGAGAAATAGCCAAGTCATAATCTTTAATATGTGAAGTACTATTTTTAAATAGTTGAATAAGGAGGTTTTAGCATTGTAGATTTGGAGAGTTCATAGGACAGATAGAGAAATTTCCTACCAGTCAGCAATTCAAAATTAGATCCAGAATAGAGAGAAATTACAATAGTGTTCTGTAGTATCCAGCAGGGGTTGAGGACTAAACAGAGCTATGGCTTGGTTGTGCCTACTTCTACACCCATGGCTAAAAGTTATCTTTAGTTATAGAACTCAAATTTAAGCATTCCTCTTATCCAATATGGGACATATTCTAACCCATTTTCAGACTTGATAGTGGCCTGCCAGCCAATGGTACTACACATCCGTTCAATTCAGCATGTTTAGTATATGCAGAGTAGTGATTGTGGTAGGTTCTTGCTCAGTAAGATGAATGTGGATAGGAGAAAGCAGAGCATGAGGGAGCAAGGTACGGAAGGATGGGAGCTTTGGAGAAACAAAGAGAAGAGAAGACAGGGGAGACTGACCAGTGAGGAATAGCAGAAGCCAAGTAGAAACAGAGAAGGAGGAGCTGTGTGTCCAACCTGAGTAACTGTGGGAGCATGGAGTAATGGCTGCGGCAGGAATGAGGAGGCAACTGACAGGGAATCTTGATTGGACTTTACTAATTGCGTCCATCTCTGGAGATACTACCTTTGAAAGCACCTTTGCTTGTCTTTAAACTATTCAAAGAAGTGTGTCATGCATACAGAAAAGAATCCAATCTTCAAATATATTTTTTGAGTTTGCAAAAATAAAGTACACAGGTGCCATTTTTTAACTTGTGGGGATCCAATCTGAGGGCTGTGTGTGCCAGGCTATGCTCTGGCGCTGAGCCTATCCACAGACTAGCAACACAAGCTTACTATGGGATCAAGTATGACGATTGTTCAAGAAGCACTCTATGTAGCTGAAGGTCACAGCTGCTTTGACCTTGAGGCACCACATGTCAACTTCGATTTTTTTGTGTGATGTGTCCAGACAAACTTGGACTGTACATTTTTGTGTGTTTATGTCTGCCTTCTTTCATTAATCATCCATTTATAGACACATCCATGTGCCACATGAACTTGTGGTTCATTCATTCTCGCTCCTGTATAATATTGTATTCTATGGATTTATTGAATATGTATCTATCCATTTCACAGATAAAGCACAATTGATCACTTTCTCGGTTTTAATGACTGTGAAGAATGTTGACATGAGTATTCTCATATAAGCAAGCCTTCAATGGATTTACGCATGTATTTGCACTGGATGATACATCTCAACTGGAATCACAGGACCAAAGAGTCTGACATGTTCTACTTTAGTAGTTATAACCAAGCAGTCTCCCAAAGAGATTAATCTAATTTATACTCCCACCAGCTGTGCATTGGGGACCAGATGCCACTAATTCCTTCCAGTATTTGGGACATCCTGTTTCTGTTTCAGGTCCTCTGGAGATTTTATAATAGCATCATGTTGTGACTTAATTTGCATTTTACTGGTTATTAATTAGGTTAAGCACATTTTCGTGTTATTGGCCATTTGGGCGACATTTGTTGAAAAGTTTCTTCAAACAGTCTGTCAATTTTGTTTAACTCTTAAAATATTGGTTATTGTACTTATTGGTCTTGGGGTATAATCTCAAACAAAAGAGATATTTGTAATCAACTTTGCCTCCCTTTGGGTCTTGAAAGGATGATTTTTATCATGCACATCATACGAATGGAAACAAATCTATATTTCTATCAGTCTATCTATAAAGATTTATCTGATATGATTAAGAATGTTCTCATTTTGTATATTTGATTCATAAACAAGTGGTAATTCTTACCACTACTGAATATACACAGAAAATTATTTGGTTTTCTTATTAATTCTATAAGGTTATAAATGACACTGACTGTTTTTTTGCATCTCTAAAATCATTCTTACCAAGAAATTGTGCCCTTTTAATATATTTCTGGATTCACTAGGATTTTTTAAATGATTTTGGTGGTTATATCCATAATATGAATGGTATTTTTTCTTTCTCTTCTAGTCCCCCACAGTTTTTGTAACACCAGGTTCTTGGTCTCACCTTTCATGGGAACAAAAGCAAGCTGAAGCAATTTCTTTTTTCTATTGTCCAAATAGTTTGGTTTCATTTCTTACTTCAACGTTTAAGTTCCTTTATTATGCCACTTGCAGCATGTGGCTCTATTTGTATATTTTGTGTCTCTATGTATGTACTATGTTGTGTGTGTAATGACTTATGAGCTTATTTCTTACATACAAAAATAGTCAATTACATAGCTAAATGCATTGGGGTAAATTGTGTCACTCAAGGAATTTTTTTCTCTTTCATATAAATTTCTGAATATACTGCTGTTAAGTTTTTTTTTCAGTATTTCCATACTTTTATGGAACATGCCCAGTCTATATTTAGGTCTCCATTCAAGGTTTTTCTCAATATTTCCATACTTCTATGGAACGTGCCCAATCTGTGCTTAGGTCTCCATTCTTGTTCTCAGAATTCATTCTGAAGAAGGAATACTGAGTAATGTGTTTGTGTTAGGTTATAAATTTTCTTCTTTATTTTTACAAGGATTATTTTAAATTCCCTTACATGTTTCAGTTGTCTATCATCTGTTTATAATTTATCCTCTACCATCTATCATTCATCTATCTATCTATCTATCTATCTATCTATCTATCTATCTATCTATCTATCTATCTATCATCTATGTAAGTTAAGTATATATTAATGTATCTGTCATTTGTCCATCATATTCTATACCTCTGTCTTAGTCACTGTTCTGTTGCTGTGAAGATACCCATGACCAAGCAACTCTTATTTAAAAAACAAAAAACATTTAATTGGGAACTTGCTTACAGCTTCAGAGGCTTTTCCTTTATCATCATAGCAGGGATCATGGCAGCACATGTTTCTGGAGCAAAGTTGAGTGCTACATTCTGACCAATAGGGAGCAGACAAAAGCGATACTGGGCATGGTGTGGACCTTGGGAACCTAGGAGCCCACTTTCAGGGACACACCTCCAACAAGACCACACCTAATCCTTACTAGACAGCTCATCAACTGGGCACAAGTGTTAGCTTATTCTCATTCCAACCACCTCACCACCCATTCAGCATCTGCATCCCAGCTGTTTGCCACCTGTCCTGTGTTTTCCAAAACAAAGGTCTAGGCGCTGTTCACTCTTCAGCATTGCTCATTGTCTTCTCCCTTAATTCTCTTGTCCTTTGTCACTGCTTTCCTCCTGCTTTCTGTGTGTCTCTCTTAGTGTTCTAACTCCAGTCAGTGTCTTTTGTTTTTACTCTAAAACTATGTTTCTGTTCCCCTATATATGTGTGACAATCCACCCCAACTGGAAGTGCTTAAAAAGAAAATGGGTTATTTTCTTTCATGTTTCTGGAGATTGACAGGCACAATTTGATGGTCAGTAGCATGAGGTGGCAGTTGAACTCATCATGTATGCTGGCTGTTCACTCACAAATTGGGAATTGGGTGGAGGTTCTGGGACTTCTGGAGAAAGAGAAATGGGATGATGAGAAGCAAGAAAAAGAGGAGGAGGGAGAGGAGGAGGAGCAGGAGCAGGAGGAGCAGAAGAAGGAAGGGCAGGAGGAGGAGCTGAGGAGGAGGAAGAGTAGGAGCAGGAGGAAAAGGAGCAAGATGAGCAGGAGGAGGAGGAGCTTGAGGAGAAGGAGCAGGAGGAGGAGGAGGATGCTGGAGAGCTTCTCTCCAGGTCCCGCCAAGTCTTGCCAGTCCAGGAGCCCACTTATAAAATAAACACACAGACTCTTACATTATTTAAACTGCTTGGCCATTAGCTCAGGCCTATCATTGTCTAGTTCTCACTCTTATATTCAGCCCATTTCTATTAATCTTTACTTTGCCACGTGGCTTGTGGCTTACTGGTACTTTACATGCTGCTTGTCATGGTGGCTGCTGGCAGTGACTCCCTCTGCCTTCCTGTTCTTTCTTTTCTCCTCTCTGTTAGTCCTGTCTATACTTCCTGCCTAGCCACTGGCCAATCAGTGTTTTATTTATTGACCAATCAGAGCAATTTGACATACAGACCATCCCACAGCAGGAGGAGCAGGAGCAGGAGGAGCAGGAGCAGGAGGAGGAGGAGCTTGAGGAGAAGGAGCAGCAGGAGGAGGAGCAGGAGGAGGAGGAGCAGGAGGAGGAAGAAAAGGAATTTGTCCTTTGATAAAACACTTTCACGTGTGACCTGGGAGAGAAAAAAACTACGGCAGCTTCTGAAGACAGCATATTGCACTTAGATGTTTGGGGTAGGGTATAATTTTCCTAAAGCTAAAGTATTGGCTATACCTCACAGTTTTTCATGTTACATTTTAATTATTGTTCAACTCAAAACATTTCCTACTCTAAATGAACATTTCTTCTTCAGATTATTTTAAATTATATTTTGGGGACTTTCTTCAAAACCATTGACAACTTTTTAATGTCTTATTATGAAATG